CCTCCTCCTCCTCCTCCTCCTCCTCCTCCTCCTCCTCCTCCTCGTCCTCGTCCTCGTCCTCCTGAGATGGGAATACTCTGCGGTAGGGGAGGAGGTGGGGTCGCCTCGGGGAGTGGAATGAACATCCCCGCGGAGCCGTGCGCGCGCCCCGCGCGCGTCCCTGGTGCTGTTTTCCTTGCGCTCGAGGAATGGAATGAATCAACATCCCCGCGGGGCCGCGCGCCCTGGGGCCTTGGGGGCGGTGGGCCCGTCTGGGAGCCCTGTTGGACCGTTTTGGGCCCCTTTGGGGCGCTTCTGGGGCTGTCTTGGGACGATCGTGGGGGCCTCTTGGGCCGCCTGAGGCCCTTCTGGGACGGAAAAAGGGAGAACCCGAAAACCATGCACAAACTCAAAGAAACACCCGCAAACGGCCATTAAATTAAACCGTTCCCCCTAGACCTCTCCCCCCTTCTGCAATCCCCGCTTCGCTCCACACTACAACGTCATTCACTCGTACCTCGCTCTTTCCGGTACCAATGAGTGAGCTCATCTGACAGTCAACCCCCGTGGGTTACAGCTTACAGTTTACATTCGGCCCCGCTCTGATTTATCTCAGGGCCATGTAATCGGTTTGCATGTGGCCCGCTCGGGTTTGTTGTAGGCCAGCCGCTGGTTTCTCTTCGATCTTCCGCGGATTTGTCTTAGCCCCCCGCGCGTTCATCTTGGGACCCTCTAGCTTTATCTCAGCCCCACAGGCGAGGTTATCTTGGGCCCTGTGGGTTCATTTCAGGCCCCGCTCTGATTTATCTCAGGGGCCATCGGGTTTATCTTGGGCCCCGCTCTGACATATATCAGGCCCATGTGTTTTTTTCACTGAAGTCCGCTCGGGTTTATCTCAGGCCGCCCGGTGGTTAATCTCCGACCCCCCGCGGATGTATCTTAGCCCCACGCGGATTTATATTTGGCTCCCGCGAGTTTAGCTTGGTACCCTGTGGGGTTCTCTCAGGCCCGCTCGGGTTCCCCCCCCCCGCCCAGCGAGTTTATCCTGGGCCTCTATGTATTCATATTGGAGGCACCTGTGGATTCATCTTGGGCCCCGCTTCGATTTATCTCAGGAGCCATCGGGCTCATCATAATCCCAGGTCTGATACGATATTATATATAATATATTTGTCACGCCCTTGTGGGTTTATCGGTTTATCGGTCTATCTGAGGTCCGCTCGGGCTTATCTTAGGCCACCAGCTGGTTTATCGTTTATCTTCCGCCCCCGCGGATTTATCTCAGGCCCGTTCGGGTTTATCTCAAGCCGGTGCGGGTTTATTTCAGGCCCGTTCGGGTTTATCTCAGGCCCGTTCGGGTTTATTTCAGGCCCGTTCGGGGTTTATCTCGAGGAGCCAACGGGTGTATAGTAGCCCTCATGCGGGCTGAACTTCCCCCCCTACTGGCGGGTTTTCAGACCCAGGCCGCCTAGTTAGCACGGCCCCGTTCTAGCCTAGAACGGGGCCGTTCTAGCCTAGTACCAGGGTCCCCTCTGCAGTGTTTCGCCGCAGCCAATTTTGGGGGCTTCGAGAACTTGGGCCGGCCAGCCGGTCATTCGAGGGCGGGCGACTACACATTTATTGCATGTCCGACTTGTTGACTTTAGCTTCAGGGCAATGGTTCGACGACATAACCAGAGATTCGGCCTCCAGTGTCCCAGGACGGACGCAGCTGGTCACGGCCTGCAGCACCCGCACCTCGTATCTACGGTCATGCAGAACCTTATCTGTTGTATGTCCGACGATAGCCCACAGGCCTTGTTGCAGGTCTGCGCGAAGTTGACTACCATTCGCATGGGGACAGCTTGCAGCGGCACGGACATTGTTGTTGTGGCCGCCAAGAGATTGGTGGCGACCTTGAAGGAACTCTTTGGATTACCTGATGCTTTCAACGTCGAGCATGTTTGGAGCTGCGAAGTAGACCCGTTCAAAGAACAATTCATTCGACAGAATTGCGCCCCACGAGCTTTCTTCCGGGATGTGACCCAGCTGAACTCATCGACAGCCTTCAACGTGATGACGGGGCGTGAGGAGGAGATCCCACCAGTGGACCTCTTCGTGTGCGGCTTTTCCTGCAAAGACGTTTCGGCCATGAAGTCCAGGAGCGCGGCGAAGGGGGCCCTCGCAGGCATATCAACGACTTTGGCTTCAGGCTCTGGCACGAGTTCTAACACCTTGTTCGGTGTCTTGGCCTACCTGCAGGCCCACAAGCCCAAATGCGCCCTGCTCGAGAATGTCACCGGGATACTTCGCACAGATGACTACGACGGACGTTTCGTCGACGACGCATCCAAAGTGACTCAGAAGAACAAGCCATTTCTTCAGAAATCTTTCTCGGACGTGGGCTACTCGTTGCATTTTCAAATCATCAACGCCGCGGACACTGGGATGCCTCAGTCGAGGCGGCGAGTATACATGATCGCATTCCTTCGTGGCGACAGTGACGCCCGCACACAGCTACTCCACAAACATATCGATTCTTTTTACGCGGCTTCTGGAGAGCCACCAGCACTTGACCTCGAAGACTTCTTGCTCTCAGAGGATGGCTGCGAGTACTGGTACGAACGCGAGCCCGCTGGGAAATGTCACGAGGCAGAAGGTCGCGTCCACGGCAATTGGTCCCACCTCCACTCGACGATGTTCAAGGAGAAGGGCTTGGACTGGCCACCGACAGAAGAAGCTTTGAAGATGGCCTGTGGAAGGGCCTGGCACTCGACTTACAAGCAGTTCAGGCCGTCCATCCGCGAGGCCGAGATCATCTACTACTGGAACATGACAAAGCCGTTGTCGGATAACTCAGATTCAGAATCAATGATCGATGCGAGCCAAAATTTGGAGAGAGTTAGATTTTCAGAAGGGCGCACGTGCTGCCTCCTTCCCGGCCAGCGTCTGCATCTCCGCCGTCGTGGCCGCTTTCTGTTAGGAGAGGAGAGTCTTCGCGTTCAGGGGTTGTGGATTGAGGATGCCCCTAAGCTCAAGGAGTTCGAAGACCGGCATCGGCAGCGTGGCGCGAGCCCTCATGGCCGCCCTTTCCGCGTGGGAAGTGTCGGAATGGGGCGGCGTGGGCGCCGCGTGATCACAGGTGAGGGTCTTGAGTTCTGAGTGTTTAGAGTCTAAGAGGCTAAGTTTGTCATCTTTCACGTTGCAGCTGCGATGCTTGACATAGCTCCGTGCCGAATGCGCCAGAGACGTGTTACTCGAGACTGGGTGTGACGAGTCAGAGTACAGGGAGGGTCGTTCGAAATTCCGTTCCCTTGTTCCTTTGTCTCCCCGAGTCCCCGAACGTTGCGCTTGAGCTAGTGATGTCAGGAACGAACTATCGTATTTGTTGAGCTCTCTATCGGACGAGCCGGCCTCAGCGCGGCCGACCTTGTGAGTCCAAGACTGGTTTAGGTTTTCCCGCATTTGGCGCAACTGGGACCCCGTGAACGAAACATCTGGATTTGGAAGTACACCTGGAGAGGAGGAGGCGGGGGAGGAGGAGGGGGAGGAGGAGGGGTTCCGTCTGTGTCCCGGTCCGCTCCTGAAAGTCATAAGGTGCTGCAGGTTCCCAAAGATCCTTCCAGCAACAGTGATTCGCAATCCTGCTAACGCGACCTTTCGATTGAGGGCGAGAAGCAGCAGGAACAAACGCCGTGGGGACACAGTGGGGGATCTCGAGGCAGAACTTGTGTCCCCCTAAGCAAGCACCAACAGTATAATTCAAAGCACGCAGCAGCGCCAGCAAAGACATACCATATCACACTGGCAATACATAGCACTGCCAGAGGTATCACATCATCACCAACAACGAGACGTTTCAAACACATGTGAAAAGTCAGCAAAGCGTCTGAAACAATAAAGAACGCACGCGAACAAATTCGAACGACAACATTCGGCATCGCATATAATAAGGGGAACAAGGATCACATAGCACCGCTAACTAACACCGCCATCGACGATCAGACGCAAACAAAAAGGCGTGACCAGAAAACGGAGACGCATGACGCTCGAGGGCTCCAGGACACCGACAGTTCGTTGGTGTCCTCGAGCGTTCGGTTTCTCGTGTTGGCCCGTCTGCTTCTACCTCGTCCTCTAAGCTCCTCCCCCTCTTCCTCTCACTCCTCCAAGTGCCGTTTTGGCACCAGTTTGCCACTTTGGCCTCAGAGCGCAGGTCGACGATCGCTGTTCCGAGAGTGGAGACCATCGCGCTTTGCACTGTCACTCCTATGTCACTTTCGCTTGCCATGATGAGCTTGGATAACTTGTCGGACGCGTCGAGTATCAGCGCCGACAGACCTCATCGTTTCAGTGGCTCCCTCGAGGACTTGGCGAGTCTCCCAGCCAACGAGAAACAGTCGCTGCGCGTGTACCACCTGTCCAAGGGGGGCAAGCAGCGCCAGTTCAAGCTTAAGTTACTTGGTACAACCCCTCAGGGCGGTGGAGTACGCTGCGAGCTCTGCAAAGCCATGAGCGGGAGCGAGGACCCCCTGTGCCCGGGCTACGAGCGCGAGTGGGCGTACTACAAGAAGAATGGGGACATCGAGGGGGTGGTGTGTTTCTATTCGGCGCTGACGCACAGGAGCCGCTTCAAGGCGTGGACCAGGGAGGAGCTGACTAGGGATCTGAACACCGGCGGGGATGAGGCGCAGGACGAGTTCAACGAGCTCGAGATGCTCGTGATTGCCCAGAAGCGCAAATGCAACCTCGAGCTCGACTTGCAGAGCATCCCCGTGCCGAAACTCATCGTCAAGACGTACTCCAAGCAGGAGGTGGCCTTCAAGAGGCCGAAGATGAACCTGGTGACCGAGGAGGCCTTCAAGAAGCGTTCCAAGATGACTTTCAAAGAGGCGGGCTTGCTGAAGTTGGTCGAGAGTCACGAGGTCGAGCCCGGCGTCTTCAAGAGGGGGATCCTGGAGACGGTCGGCGAGGAGGGCGTCTACGAGATGGAGCACGTTTTCACCAGGGGCGCCCAGAAAGACCACGTGGTGGACGATGGGTATCTTTCTCAGTGTTACGGGTCGGAGATGTGGGATTTCTGATCGGATGCATCTGCAGTGATCTCTGACCTCGTTCTCACAGTAACTTTGTGTCACGCTTAATCCCAGACGCTTCGCGTGACCCCGCGAGCCCAGGCGAGTTGCCTTGATCGGGAATTTGGAGAAGCATGCAGTGGAGTAAAAGACGCCATACCCCAAGAGGGGGAGGGTGGAGGAGGGATCGGAGGAGCAGGGGGAGGAGTGGGGGGAGAAGGGAGGGGATGAGGGAAGAGGAAGGAGGAAGGCTAGGCGGATGAGGAAGAGGAGGGGAGGGCGAGCAGTAATGCCAGCCAGAAGCCGACTTTTGGATGCTTCTCGGAATCTCTTCGGATTTCTTCCGAGAGCTTCGTGGAGCCCCTTTGGGGTGTCTTGGAGGTCTCTTGGCAATCATGGGTCATAGGGGCTTCCCGGGGCGTCGCGGGTGCCTCTAGGGGGCCGCTCGGGGCCTCTTTGGAGTTTCTCTTGAAGAAGGGCATTGGCAGAGGAAGCGCTCTAATCCTATCAAGCCCTCAATGGCTGGCGGGATTATCTTTAAGTTGTTATTGATTGTTGCCTCAGGCGGCCCATGATTGATGACCAGCAGGCCAATGCCAACTTCGCCCACGCGGCCAAGAAGCAGAAGCCGTCGGGCAATCAGCCGATCTCGAAGGCTTCCCTGGACGACATGATCAGGGCGGCGCAGCGCCCGCAGGGGTCCCCTGAGAAGTCCGAGGAGGGCTGCAGCGGGCTTGACAGCATCGCCGCCGAGACCCCGCAGAAGGACCTAGTGGAGAGCGACGAGGAGCAACGAGACGCTGAGCTGGCTGCCGAAGCGGCGCTCGGAGTCCTGCAGGGCGACAAGAAGAGAGGCCAGAAGGGCGCTAAGAAGCGCGGCGCCAGCCTTGCCGAGGGGGTTGCGGACAGCGGGAAAAAGCCAAAGAAGGGTAAAACGGATGGTTTCTTGGTCGCCTCCAAGGAGAAGGCAGACAAGGAGTTGAAGGAGCTTATGGTGAAATTCCAGAAGAACGCCTTACTGCCCGGCCCCCTCGCCAATAAGAAGAAGGCTCTCTCGAAGAACATGGTGGCGTTGCAGGAAGCGGTGCTGGGTCGGGAAGACGAGTGCTCAGTGAACGCGGTTGCCGCATGGACGCTACTTGTGGATTGCGGCGAGCGTATGTTGGGTCTACTTGGAGCCTACTCGCAGTTGAAGGCCCTGATCGGCCCCTCGATGAAGCTGCGCGGCAATGCCGCGCACGATGCAGCCGCGAACTTCCATGCCGAGATGCAGCTGTGCCGCCAAGTGGACAGTTTGATGCAACACATGCCGTCTGCGTACCACGAGCTGGACTTCAAGATCATCGCGTGGCGTGCGATCGAGGAGAAGACCTACGACGTGTTGGCTGCAACGATCTCATTGGTTCACGTCGGCGCAGCTTCGGGTTCGACCTTGACTGGCGACGGGGCGGCGGCCGTGCAGAGATCCGTGATGACAAAGTTAGTCCTTGAGAGCGTGCAGGGCCCCGAGCCAGGGGAAGTGCTGAGCGAGTGGTTGTCGGCGGTTGACTTCGAGCAGCATGGCCACTTTGTCGAGGACATCGTTCGCGACGTCGGCGTCATCAAGCTCGTGATCCAGACAGCGACGGCGAAGGAGGCGGAGACCATGGTCGACTCGAACCTGGAGGCGCAAGTCGGCTACGCGAAGGCTGCCACGACTGGCCCTCTGTTCCACTTCCGGGTCTCAGCGTACGGCGGCAAGTGTTTGACGGAGTTGGCCAAGAAGGCGCAGTCCCAGAGAAGCAACATGATATTCGAGAGGCGCTGGACGCAGACGTCAACCGATATGAAGGTGATAGAGTCTTTCCAATGGGATGCGAAGACGTTCTTCACGGACTTGTTGTGCCAGGCGCAGGTGTTCGACCGAATCGCAGAGAATCGCACTTTCTTGAAGAGCGCTCCCGCGTCTTTCTGGACGCCTGATGTCCAAGCCGCCGTGACAATATACGAAGATGCGCTCAAGAAGAAAGTCTTCGTTGCTATGGGCAGTGCCGTCTTGGACATGTCGAGCTTTTTGGTGAGCCAGCTTGCGGATCATCTCGAGAAACTTCCCGAGGACGTAGCCGGTGCGGGCAAATTCGTCGAGGACTTCAGCTTTAACGTCCAGGCGATGACGGAGGAGTTCAAGGGCGGCTTCGCCATCTTGTCCAAGCAGGCTAACACGGCTACGGCAAGCATGATGTCTTTCTTCGGACGCGCGATCCAGGTGGCGAACAACATTGTCAGCGTCTTGGACTTCGGGGCCAAGAAGGCACCTGCTTCCTCATCTCCTCCTCGTCGTCGAGTCGTCCTCGCCCTCCCGAACCTTAGAGGTCAGCTGCAAGAGCGCGGTCAAGGAGCTCGCGACCTCGGCCTGCTCCGACTTCGCCCGGATGCGCGTGGCCATGTCGAAGGACGGCGATTGCGATGCCTTGTTTGACGGTTTGAAGGAATATCTTGGCATCCCCAGCAGCCACGATGATCTGGACCACGTCAACGCCATCGTCAACCTGTGCAGTTCGATTGAATCCCACCTTGCTGATATTTCAGACGTGGTGTTCAGCGAGGCTGTTTTCTCGTTTGCCATGTCCCTGTCGACGTTTGCGCCTGAGTTCAAGCAGCTTTGCGACAAGCTAGGCAAGACGGGCACGATGACAGAGCACTTCTTTCCGATCGACTTCGACGCCGCAGATTTCGTGGGCAAGCTCACCGCGGAGGGGATCGCCGTGGCGATCCAGCAGCTGTCCCAGTTCAAGCGTGTTGACTCCTCTGAGAAGCAGCTGCGGGATGCGGTGGCCGTCTGGAAAGACAGATCCATCCTCCGCGAGGTGCAGCTTGCCGTCTTCTACAACGACGCCCACGTAATGTTTTACCGAGTGGCGAATGCATTCCACTCAACCATCTTGTTGTCCTGCCCGGCGGTGCATTGCCACAGGGCGGCGTTCGTGAGCGTGAAGTCCGCCGGTGCCAAGGCTAGCAATTCTTCGAGTGGAGCTGGCGCTGATCAGGTTGGTGAGCGCTATATTGTCAACAACGCGCTGGTGAACCTCATCGGCGAGTGCCGCAAGATGAACACTGGCTTGAAAGACTACGCGTCGCCCACTCTCGAGGTCACGATCGGCGACGAGAAGGTCAAGGTGCTGCAGAGCAAGTGCAGGACTATGGCAGACGCAGCGCTTGCAGGTATTGCCTCAAAGGTTGCCAAGCGGTGGTTGGACGCCATCGACGCTGGCCACACGGCGTTGTTAGAGCACTTCCCCGACGGCGACTGGAGGAAGAAGGCTTTGCTGGAGGTGGACGCTGACTACATCAAGGGCACCCTCATCAAGAACCCGAACCCGAAGCACGTCCGCATGGCGCAGCTGTGCGAGTGGCTGGAGAACAACGTGCGTGAAACCAAGGATCCATGACCTCTACTTCCTCCTTCTTCCTCTCCCTCCTCATCTTTCTCCTGTTTTTGGCAGCCGTCGCCAACGGTTGCAAGCAGGAGGAAACGTATTAGGTGGAAGCAGACGGGCCAAACAGAGACGCACCACGCTCAAGGGCTCCAGGACACCGAAGGTCCGTTGGTGTCCTTGAGCGTGCGGTTTCTCTCGTTGGCCCGTCTGCATCTACCTCATCATATGTTGTTGTTGTTTCTTTCGATTTGTGCATCGGTAGGACGCGATGGTCAAGCTCCCCCCTCTGCCGACGGACGCGACCATGCAGCCGCAGGACTTGTGGGCCAAGATCGAGCCCGCGATCGCAGATGTCAAGCAGCTCGTCGGTGCCTCGGTGATGTTCCAGCTCGTGTTCGTGCGCTCCCCGCAGTTTGCCACCGCAGAGGCCCGCCAGAAGGCGACGGGCGAGCTCTTGGAGACCCTGGCGAAGAACAAGATCGAGCTCAATGCTGTGCTCACCAACTACGTGGAGAAGTGGGCGATGGGCCCGATCCCGGTCCCTTTGGACGATGGGCCGGGCGGCCCAGCTTAGACGAGAGGCTAGTTCGCCAGGTTCGCGGCACGCGCGCCTCTTGTTTCCGCTCCTGCTCTGTTCTCATGCGTTTCTACCCTCCTTCTTGCTTCGCATGTCAGACTAGCGTGCCGCTGGCGGGGCTCTCGGCGCAGATCGAGTGCCGACCTGGGACGGCCAGCCAGCGCGAGAGCCTCCGAGGGCGCAGCAAATGACAGTTGAGTCAATGAAATTGTTGCGAGAGGCCTTTCGCCTTGCTGGATGGATTGTTGTCCCCGCTGCTGCAGGGAATGCACATTTGGGAAGATGGAAAGAAAATGGCAAACACGATTCGTCCTCCTTGATCCTCCTGTCTCCTCCTTCCTCGTTTCCGCCTCCTCATCCTCGTCCTCCAGGTGCCCTTGAATTTGGATAATATAAGATACCCAAGCGTGGACCAATTTCAAGATGCGAGCTCCTCCTTCATCCTCCGCCTCCTCTGCCACTTCCCTCCGCCTCCCCGTGGACGCCCCCGCCGCCGCCGCCGGCATCGGCTACGAGGCGGCCCGCTACGTCCCCACAGAGGCCTCGGGAGGGAGAGGAGGTGAGAAGAGGGCGACGAGTAGGGGAGGGGGCAACCCCCTCTGCCGACGCAAAGCGCGAGGAGGGGGAGGAAGAGGAGCACGAGGAGTAGGAGGGGAGAGGTGGGAAAACAAGGAGGAGGAAGAGGAGGAGGTGGAGGAGGAGAGGCAGGAGGAGGAGGAGGAGGAGGAGGAGGAGGAGGATGAAGAGGACCCCTCATCCTCTTCGTTATGTGACATTATGTGGCTCTTTTGGCTGTTGCCCACAACAAACCTACTAAGCAGATGGTGGATATTGGATTGCGCACTCCTAACCTTGAAAGTAGATATTAGGTACCTTGGTTGTGAACCTTGAACCTTGCTCTTGCAAGCCTTGAACCTTACTCTTGAACCTTGAACTTAGACCTTACCTTGGACCATGAGGGGTGTCCTCCCGCTTGTGGCGCAGGGCGCGCCTCAAGGTGTGCCCATCCGGAATGTTTCTCAGCTCCCGGGGAGGAGGGCGCCACTCCACCCGGGCGCCGGCGACAGGGCACACCCCTAAAAAGCAGCAGCGGCGAGGCAGAGGGGAGAGGGAGAGGGGGCCAGGAGGGGCCAGGAGACGGAGGAGACGGGGCCGCGGCCGTGTGTCGTGCGCCACCGAACCACACCGTTAGGCACCCGCACCTCCTCCTCCTCCTCCTCCTCCTCCTCCTCCTCCTCCTCCTCCTCCTCCTCCTCCTCCTCCTCCTCCTCCTCCTAGAGTGTCGCCCATCGCTGGGTGCGGTGCGCGAAGTCGGCGACCGACGGTCAGGGCCGCTGGCCGGCCCATCGTGTCGCTCCGCCGGGTCTGGCCCACCACGCCTCGGCGCTGCTGCACGCTGCCCAGCCACGCGCAGAGGGGGGTGGGGGGAGGGGGGAGGGCTTCTCAAAGCACCCCTGCTTCTTAGAAGGCGCGGGCCCTTCTCTGTAGATGTGTAGGGCCGGCGCCTTCTAAGAGGCGGCCTCCTCCTAAGAAGCCCTCCCCCCTCCCTCCACCCCCTTGTGCGCGCCGCCAGGCTACCCTCGAGGGCACGACGGAAGGGGGACTCGTCGCCGGAGTGACCTCTGGTGCGGGCCAGCTTGGGCTCCCCCGATCGCCGAACGCGATGCGACAGCAAGTGTACTGCGCGCTTGTGTTTGGTCCCCCCCCCGTGCCCTTCCAAAAGCCGCGCACCAAAGGTCACTCTTTCCCAGGGTCACCCTGGCGTGTAGCCGACATCCAGGTCTCCAGAACCGGTCGTCACCGTCCCGAGCCGTTCCCGCCTTCCCGCCCCGCGGAGCGGATCGACACGCCATCTTTTCGCAGGGCACAGCGTGTCGCTGGGGCCGCCGCCGCGACACGCTGCGTAAACGTTCCCGACTGCGGGTCCTCGTCTCGCTGCGGGCGGGTGGTAATGGGGGGCGGCCCAAAAATGGGGGGTGAAGAAGAGGTCCCTTCTCAAAGGAACCCGATCGCGGTTTCTTGAAGGCTTTATAGGTGTATCGCATCTACGTGTTTCCAGTCGTCACATTCCTCTTGCAACTCGACATCGTGCCAGCGCGTTGGGACGCTTACAATAAACATGCTTGCGCTGTTCTGTTCCCTGGTCCTCGTGATTTGGCGCCCCAAGATGTGTTGCGAAGTCTGCAGTCCATCGGCTTTTGCGGCGGAGCTGACGCACGCACGCAACACTTCCACGGCAGCCAAGTGCAGAGTGCACCATTGGGAGAACCACGCGCACGGAGGGCTCTTAATCCAGCGTCGGGAGCGGCATCTGCGTACGCTCATCCAGAACTCCCCGCACATCCTCCGCAAAGCGATGTGGAGCAGATGGTCGTACGACTCCAGCTTCCTGACCAGCTTCTAGGCCGTCAGCGGCAATCTGTACTCGAAAGCGCGACATGCCGCCGTGTCGGCCGAGAAACTGCGCCATGGAGGCGCTCGTGTGCCGACGCTTCGGGAGCGCTGGCAAAAACAGTGCGCGTTGATCTCTCGTGCTCCACAACCGGCGTGCGTGCATCGGCACTTGCGCCGCTGCCTGGACCGGCGTCCGCCACACGTGCACGTGCCTCCAGGCCGCCGCGTGGAGAAAGGCGATTGCCATGCTGAGCGGGCTGGCGCGGTCAGTGCCACCTCGTGTCTTGGCCTGCGCTTGTCGGGCGACTTGCAGGGGGTGGGCGACAGGCCACCGCCTGCAGCGCAGGACGCCCTGCGCCTTCGGTGTGGCGACGGCGAGGGCAGTCTCGAGCACTGCAGCGGTTGTGGCCGGGCCGCTGCGTCCGGCAGGCGGCGCCCCGGCCCGGCCCCATCCGCCACCCGCAGAGCGCCTCTCTGCTCTCCTCCTCCTTCCCCTGCCTTGTCATGACGTACCTCCAGTGAGCTCGCGCGACGAGCGCTCGCAGTTTACAGCGTCGGTGAGGCAGCAGATGCCGCGTGCCACGGCTCGACAGCGAACGCCAAGGGAGTCTCTGGCACGATGGGCGCGCGAGGCTCGTGCGTCAAGTGCTGGCCTTGCAATTCTGGTAGCAAGTATTTGGCAGAGCTGCCCCCTCCCTCCTGTTCCTCCTGTCTCCCGGCCCCCTCGGCCCTTACTCCGTGACGCCATCCGGCCATGGCCAGACAGCCAAACGGGTTGCAGGCCGGACGACGTGGTAGTGGTTGGGCGCATTTTCTTGGGCGATGATAGATTGCGCGTTTGTGTTTGGCCGCCGTCTGTGACCGCGGATGTCCTGGTACAGATTTGGGCGTATTTCCTACTATTGTGAGTGCCTCTCCGCGGCGCTTCCCTGTTTCCCGCTTCTCTTCCGGTGTGCCGCTGTGCGTTTTTGTGTTTAGTGGCCGTTTGGGCCACAGGGGTTCTAGGCACAGCGCCCGTTCCCTTTCCTCCTCCTCTTCCGCTCCCCCTCTCCCCTTAAGTTGTTTAGTGTTTGGTATGGTTTGAGATTATGTGGCCATTCACGGAGCTTGGTTTCCGATCTCGGCTTGAAGGACAGAGCGACATAACCACACCTTGCTGCCGCCACTTAACTAACTCAGCGCGATGTTTCGGGCCCCCCTTATCCGGGCCAGGTAGAATGGGAGTCCGGTGCTGCTGTCCATGCTGTCGCGTCGCGTCGTGCGTTTGTAGTATCTGAACACCCGTAGCCTTTGCATGGAGACAGGGGTACCGAGGCGGCAGGCTTCGATGACGGCGGCCCGACTCGGTCACGCTCCGTGGGCGCAGGCCGGTGCAGTATGCACTGGCTGGCCGAGTGAGCAGGGAGCAGGAGCAGGCGGCGTGCGCAAAGCAGGGTTGCGTCGGGCCTGTCCCTCTACAGGAGGAAGGTTCAAGAATAGTAAAAACATGGTCGGGGGGCGATGTTTTAACGTATGTTGTAAACATTGTTGCGCATTGTTTGGGTCTTTTTTTGGTTTTCGTTCAAGATCCGCCTGTAGGGGGATAGGCCCGACTCAGGAGTAGGGTTGCACAGCAATCGCCCCCCCCGTCCCCCACCCTTCAACTCACCCTTCCATACCCCTCCCGATTGTCTGTGGCTGCTGGCAGCTTGGCCTTCAAAGCGGTGTAGGGTATGCCAAACCGCTCCATGTAGACGTGGTCTTGCAGGCTGGCGCAGTCTGTAAATGGTGGCCCGTGGCGCAATGTTGCGACTGGAGGCGGGATCGATCGATTGAAGAAAGAATGTGGCTGGCCTTGTGGTGGAGAAGGTGCCTATTCTCGGTAGTCCACACAGTGGGACTGGCCCAGTCTGCGGGAGCTGCTCCACTACCGACAAACCACCACAGTTCCTCCTGCGCCCTCCGCCCCCCTCCGCCCTCCTCCTGCCCCTCCTGCCGCTCCCGCCGCCCACATTCGAGGAGGCAGACACTGCACAAAGATCAGCTTTCGGAGTTCCGCGCG